GGGGGAGCGGAATTGCGCAGCAGCAGTGAGATAACTTCCCCGTGGTCACTTCCTCCCTCTGCTGTCGTAGGTTCTCCAACAGTTAGTAAGTTTCAATGGTTTTCAAAAAGGACCAGACGTTGGATTTATATCTTCCTTCCTTCCTTTTACTGTTTTTACCTTCATTTCCGTCTTAATTTATCAGTTTGCTCGTTGATGCCTTCTTTGGGTCTATCTTGCCTTTCTTTTCAAACTCTTGGAGTGGGATGGCTAATTCCTGTTCTCTTGTTTATTGATAGCAATGTTTAAAGCCGTAGATTTTCCTCTGAGCATTGCCTTGGCTGCATCCTCCAAGCTCTGAACCCTAATGCTTTTATTTTTATAATTGTCTAGATATCCTTGATTTTTTTTCTTTTTCTTTTTTTTTTTTTTTTTTTTTTTTTCTCTCTCTTTGATTCAAGCGTTAGTTTTAAAGAGTTTTTAAACTGAGTGGTAGAGTTTTTTGGTTTGTGGTTTTGTTATTAGATATTTTCAAAATTGTGATCAGAGAATGTTGGCTTTTGGAATTTACTTTCTTTTTGGCCTAATTGTCATTTTATATGTATGCATTTTTAAGGGTATTTGAACAGAAGGTAGATTCTGTTTCTCTCTCTCTCTCTCTCTCACACACACACACACACACACACACACACGTCATTAATTTGACTATTTGGTTCCATATATCCTTACGCATGTTTTTGCCACCTTTATCTGTAATGGACTGAGAAAGGTGAATTAAAATGCACGGATACTAGAATATTCTGTGTTTTTATTTCTACGTTTCCATTAGTTCTTGCTTGATGACTGTTGAAGCTATGTTACTTGGTGCACAGATACTCATTACTTTAGATCAGGGGTCCTCAAACTTTTTAAACAGGGGGCCCGTTCACTGTCCCTCAGACCGTTGGAGGGCCGGACTATAGTTTAAAAAAAAACAAAACTATGAACAAATTCCTATGCACACTGCACATATCTTATTTTGAAGTAAAAAAACAAAACGGGAACAAATACAATATTTGTATTTGCATGTGGCCCGCGGGCCGGAGTTTGAGGACCCCTGCTTTAGATCCTTGATCCCCGCACAGCGCCCCCCTTTTTTCCTCGTTCAGCATTTGTTGCCCTGACTTCAGCTTTCTCTGCTGCTCAGATGAGGACCCCTGGCCTCTCCTGGTTTGCATTTGTTTGTTATGTTCCTGCCCATCCTTCCCCCCCCCCCCCCCCCCAACGGTGTTTCTGTTGTTTATTTACCCAGAGGAACTATTGCTCAGCTCACATATTCAGGAACACGGGTCAGTGACAAATGTCTGTGGATTCAACCCAAAGACATTCTTTTTTAAAAATATATATTTTATTGATGTTTTACAGAGGAAGGGAGAGGGATAGAGAGCTAGAAACATCGATCAGCCGCCTCCTGCACACACCCCACTGGGGATGTGCCCGCAACCAAGGCACATGCCCTTGACCGGAATCGAACCTGGGACCCTTCAGTCCGCAGGCTGATGCTCTATCCACTGAGCCACACCGGTTAGGGCCCAAAGACATTCTTAACATCCCAAGGTCACTCTGCCCTCGGAAAGCGCCCCGCCTCAGCCTCCATGGGAGTTACTCGCTGTGGATCCTGCGACGCCTCCTCTCAGGCTCAGCCACAGCAGGCGAGAGGAGCTGCAACCCCTGGACACGACGATGGCCCCACCCACACGCAGTCCGGATGGAGGACTGGGCGGCCCCATTTTCTAAATTTCATCAAATACTTAACATAAGTTTACCATTCAGCTGTTCGCATGCACTGTTCCGTGGCCTTCAGCCCGTGTACTTGGGGCGCAGCCATCGCCGGAACTCCCTGTCCTCTGTCCATTCTTTTAAAGCAGTGGTTCTCAACCTTGGCTGCACATTAGAATCACCTGGGAATCTTGTTAAAATCCTGATTTCTGGGCCTCATCATTAGTAACAAAGAAACAGAATTTCTGGAGGATGAGGCCCAGAAATCCGGATTTTAACAAGATCCCCAGGTGATTCTAATGTGCAGCCAAGGTTGAGAACCACTGTTTTAGAGCAAACCTTTCAGAATCCTTCTCCCTTCCCTGGGTTTTGTTTGGAATCTGGTCTGAGAGTCTTTTTTTTTTTCTTCTGCAAGTGTGTGCGGCTCATTCCCATTTCCCGAGATGGCAGGCACAGTTGGTCTCGGTTCTGTCACCATAGTTTTGATAGGCTTTCTGCTTTTATAGTTTTTGTGGGGGTTGTCAATTTTCACCATATGGTCTCTGTTTTCTTTTTTATGTATATGTCTTCTGACAATATGGAAAGCTGTGTTTTTATCCCCTGGATATCTTCATAATTATACTGTGATATTCTACCCTTAATCATCTATTTCTAGACAATGTTTATTTTCTCCCTATTATGAACAGCGTCCAAATAAAGATATTCTACTTTCCCTTTCTTCCTCCAAATGGTATTAGTTGATTATATTATTTTCCTATTTGCCTTTGTACCTCTGTTACTTACACATCTAGAGGATGCTTTAGGCCCAGCCAGTGTGGCTCAGTGATTGAGCATTGATCTATGAACCAGGGGGTCACGGTTCGATTCCCAGTGAGGGCACATGCCTGGGTTGTGGGCTGGCTCACCAGTAGGGGGTGTGCAGGAGGCAACTGATGAATGATTCTCATCATTGAGGTTTCTATCTCTCTCTCCCTCTCCCTTCCTCTCTGAAAGCAATAAAAATATATTTAAATGAGCCTTTAGACATCCAACTATAAATGAGTAAGACATAGTTTATCTCTCCTTCTCGCCTCTACATTTCTTATTTATATCAGTTCTCTGTTTTCTCTTTCATTCTTTTCTGTCACATCACAGTCCTTACGTTGGATTCAGACATAGATTCTTACTGCCGGCGCTCTTGCCAGAGTTACTCCCTCTACCCTAAGTCTGTTCTCTAGTAGTTATATAAGAAGGGACCCTGGGAACTATAATTCACAAATATTGTTCAAAAAGTTTTTCTGTTGACTGTATACGTAAAGGATGGTTCATCTGGGCTTCAGCTTCTTCGTTCATTCATTCATCCATCCACTTAAATATTGATTAAGCCTCTACTAGATGCCAGTTACTGTTCTAAACCCTGGCAATACAAAAATAACCACAGCACACAGGCACCGTGGACTCCCTGTAGCTGGTAAGGGAGGGGTGAGCAGTCCGCTAGGCCCGTCAGTAAAGCAGCAGGCGTGCCGGACAGATGTGCTGGGAGAAGGAGAAGGAGAAAGCCGGGGGGCACCGGGACCTGGCTGTGTTCTGTGCAGCAGAGGGAGGCTCCGTGGAATCTTCTCCCCTGCGTTGTGCAGAGTTGGGGGTTGACTCAGCCCCGTGAAGTAGGACTCGTTCCAGAAAGATGGGCTGTGTGGCCTGTTGGAGCCCCCCCCCCCCCCCCCCCCCCGGATAGCATGCACTGGCACTCGGAGCAAGACGGGTCATCATGAGGAGCTTGAATAAGATGCAAGTGGCCCTCCCCGGCCAGGGCAGCTCGGGGGGCTGGACGATGTCCTGTGCACCAGAAGGTGCCAGTTCAACCCCCAGTCAGGGCACAGGGCCAGGCAGCGGGCCCGATACCCGGTAGGGACAGTGCAGGAGGCAGCCGGCCAATGCTTCTCTCTCATATCAGTGTTTTTTCCTCTCCCTTCCTCTCTCTCTAAAAATTAATAAGAAATTGTTTTTAAGAAAGAAAACATATGCAAGTAGCAGCAAACCAGCTGCACTGGTGTGGCGCTGGGGAGCCAGTGGGCACCACCGGAACCAGGTGTCTCCCTGCTTTCAATTCCACTTGCGTTAGTGAGGGCCCTTCATTCTCCTGCTCCCCTAGGTTAGTATCCCCCTCCCAGGGGACTTCCACTTGCATGGCATTGGCCAGGCTGGGTCATGTGATCACCCCTATCTGCAAGGGAGTCTGGGAAGGTGAGTTTCGTGACTGGGTAATTGCCCTACCCATGGATATAAGACAGGGAATTCGCAGTGCCTCCCGCAGATAGAGTCTGTGCTCCTGTTCCTCGCTGCCCTGGTGTGGAGGCCATTTTGACGGGGAGAAAGGACCAAAGCCGCTCAGCTCTGCCAATCAAAGCTGTAACCGCCCGTCCCTGTGCCGGGAGTCCCTGGCTGCCTCTCCATGACTTCGTGTGATATGGTCATATCCAGTGGCGTGATTGCACGATTCATAATGGCTCTTACTGTAATTCTGAATGATATCAGGATCTGTCCTTAATAATTTTTAGTTTGTTACAGCAAAGGTGACCATGTAGCTTATCATCAGAATCAGAAAACTGTTGCGTGTGAAAGGGGAGCAATATTAAAAATTATGCCAGAACAACAGCCGCTAACTGGGACTGTCCCAAGCCAGGACGTATTGTTGAGGTAGATGAACACTGCTGGCTTTGTAAGTTGACCTGAAGTCTCACAGATTGAAAATGTCTGTGCTCTCTAATCTAATCATTAGCCTGTTGATTCCTTGGATTTTCTATGTGTATTACTGGCAAATAGCTGGTTTTGGGAGTCTCTGACATGCTATGCTTTTTTCTTGTCTTATTACATGGGACAGGGTTGCTAGTACTATATGGAACCACTAGAGGCCCGGTGCACGAATTCGTGCATGGGTGGGGTCCAGCCAGCCTGTCCCCGATTGGGATGGGGGGGCAATCAGGGGTGGGGCTGGTGGGGGGAAGGGGCCATGGGTGGTTGGCCAGCCAGCCCCTCCCCCTGGTCGAACTCCCAGTGGAGGGGACAATTTGCATATTAGCCTTTTATTATATAGGATTGTCAACAGGCTTGCTTGTCTTGCTTCCAGTCTTCAAGTCAAACATTTCTCAATTCCCGGAAGACAGAGGCAGGTCACGGACTTAGAGAAAAACTGGCTCCTCCTGGCACTGAGGCCTGAGAGAAAGGTCCCCAGTGTCCCCATGGAGGGGGCACCCCTGATACTTTGTTTCCTTCTGCCCCCCCAGAAAACCCTTTCGCCGTGCCTCAGGACTGGGAGCTGAGACCGAAGTGCCCGGCACAGCCTCCACGGAGAACAACTTCCACAGAGACGCCAGGAGGGAGAGCGGAGGCGGCCGCGGCAGTGGCAGAGGAGAGAGGACCGCCTGTACCCCGAACCTCGTTCTGCAGACTTCTAAGACTAGGAGCAAACTCAGGAGTGGGGGTCCCGGGGTGCAGGGAGGGGGTTCTGAGCCACCCGTCCACAAGCAATAGTCCCATTTTGGGCTGGTGGCTTCTGAGAGGTGATGCCACTGTGGACTCGAGGTGACCAGCGCAGAGCTGCCCTGGCCAGCTCCGGCCGGAAGGATGGAGGCCTGTGCGCCATGTCCACGGTTCCCTCGCCTCCGTTCCCCCCGATAGTGGCTCGTGGGCCTGTGCCTGTCAGAATACCGAGTGTGTGTGCGCGTGTGCGTGAGTGTGCGTGTGTGCGCATGTGTGATTTGGGTGTTCTTTTTGTTTGTTTGGTTTTTACTGGATCCCTCCACGTTCTCGGGTGGGCGCGTGCCGCCATGTGGGGGGGTCCTTGCCGGCACCCGGGTCCCAGGGTTTTGCTGCAACTGGCAGCTGTGAGCCGGATGGCGTCGGCAAGCTCAGGGCCCGGCCCTGCTGTGTCTTGGGGGGACGCCGGGACTTGAAACCTCCAGGGAGGGTTCATTGTCACAGGAGTCGGTCCCATAACAACAGGCACCAGGTCGGTGTGTGCACAGATTCTCTCTCCACCCGTGAGGGAGTGCGGGGGGCCGCCTGCAGAAACCACTCCGGGCAAGGAGGGTGCCAGGGTCACATACACAGTGACAGGGGCCAGCCCCTCGGTTTGATGTCGGGGGTGTAGGAACCCAGAGTCCAAGCTTCCAGCCCAGAGCACTCCCAGCATAGTCCGGGGACACCTCCCGGTCGCTTCCCAGTGGACGAGCCACCCCCCAAGTTCTCCACCACCACGGCCCAGACCCCGGTTCACGCAGCACACTCTGTGAGCACCTGCTGTGCCCGGCCCACGCTGGGTGGTGCTGGGGAGAGAGAGGAGTCCCGCGGTCCTCACTCCTGCCCCGGGGAGCTGCCACCGGGAGACGGCGGGGGGAGTGGGAGGAGAGATAGACACACAGCTCTTTTCCAGACAGGGTGACGAGCAGTATGGAAACCCAGAGGGGAAGGTTCTAGAAACCCTTCCATTTTCAGGTGGGACTGTCACACAGTCCTGGATGCCCGTAACGTTCACCCACAGAGCTCACCACGGCCACTGCCCACCTGTGCCCCGGGCACACAGGCGGGTGTCACCCGGGAAGGGATCACGTCAGCCCCGAGGGCCATGCTGCCAGTGTAGACACACGCGCCCAGGGGTGTCAGGGATGCTGACAGCGCCCCGGGGCCTGCTCAGTAAACCGCGTTCCCCTCGGGTCGCGCGTCCTCGCTCAGCCAGACCCAGTGTTCCCGCACCCAGACTCCATCACACAGCGTGAGCAGGCGGGCCCTGCCAGCCGGGCAGAGGGGACGGAGCAGAAGAAGGAGGGCCCGAGGGGGCGGGCAGGGGGAGCGCTGTGCCGGGAATCCAGTCACAATACGTGTGTGGGGGCCGCGTGGAGCCCGGGCCACCTGGGAAGGCCTTTCTAAGTGGGTGCCAGGCAAGCCCAGGTCTGAGCGCTGAGCAGGAGCCAGCCATGGGGCAGGCAACGAGCATCGCAGGTGGAGGGAATAGCCGGTGCCAGGCCCTGAGGCAGCAGCAGGCTCCGTCGTTTGGGGAATCGGAAGAAATCTGGGGGCTGGGCCCCGCGGGAGCGCGGGGCGGTGAGGGTGAGGGTGAGGGTGAGGGTGTGGGTGAGGGTGCGAGAGCCCAGGCCAGTTTGCTACGCCTCAGCCCCATGCAGGGACGAAGCAGAAAGAACTTGCCGGGTGCGAAGTGTTTAACCTACAGCCTGGCTCTTCAGCCCCTCAACAGCCCCACCGATAAGGGACTCTCCCCATTTTATGGACTAGGAAACTGAGGCTCAGGGGGTCACGAGGCTTGATCAAGGTCCCACAGGCAGGCTGTGGCAGACCCAGGCCATGGCTCCAGCCCCGTCTCCTCCAGCCTGTGGTGCCAGGGCCCAGGTGGACCGCTCAGCGGAGGCAACGCGGGGGAACCTGCGCTTGGGGTCTTGACTTAGGGATGGGCACGGCATCCTTTCCCTCGGATGCCAGTCATGCCAGGACATGGGCCGGGCCTTGTCCGGGTGGAGAAGCAATGGCCAGGGGAGGGGCGTGCTCAGCAGCCATTCAGCCCAGCTGGATCAGCCCACACCTGCATCCCATGTGCGGAGCCTCGGACAACAGAGGAAGCTATCCCCGGGGCTCAGGGGAGGAGGGCACAGGACCCACAGCCTGACATTGGCTCTGTGTTAAGAGCAGTGTGACCCCGGCACGTCCCGTGCCCTCTCTGCCCTCCGTCTCCCTGTGGGTAAGAGGACGGAGCCAGACCAGGCACGCAGGGGGCTGGCATGGTGAGCTTCCTGTGGTTCTGGGTGAGGCTCACGCAGCTGCTCATGCCCTTTCTCTGCCAAAACGGAGCTGCTGGCCTTGCCTCCCTGCCCGGAGGCCTGGAGCCAGAGGTCACTGTCCCATGGGCCCGCTGGGGCTGGAGTCCCTGCTCTGCAGCCGGGATTGACAGCCTGCAGGAGGCGGGACAGACCCTGGGCAGCCCCACCCCGTCCCCGCGGTGGCCTTGGGCAGGCCCCCTCCTCTCTCTGAGCCTCAGTTTCTCACCTGGCAAGTGTGCGGGGTGGGGCGCGGGGGAAGGTCACAGCGCTCGCTGCCGCGTGCTGAGGTGAGGGGGTGAGGGCAGTGTGTGGGGGGTGAGGAGCCCCGCAGCTGTCGAGGGTTCCCCCAAACCCTGCGGGACCCCGGTCGTCCCCACAAAAACCTGTCCCCATCCTACTGTGGCGGGCGGACATGCCGGTGAGCAGGGTCCTGAGGAGACGGCGCGGGGCAGTGACGGTTGGAGGAGAGATGGCGAGGGCTAGCGATTTTCAGCGACGCCAGACCTGACTGTTAAGTTGCCTCTGTTTCCTTCTTACGTGAGCTTCTGGCCGTCACCACGTCGTTTGTGACAGTAACAACAGCAATGGCACAGAAGGAAAAAGCAGGGAAGGACACCCCCCAGGAGCGGGTCCCGGCTTCGGGTGACCCCCGTGTCCACAAGCACTTCTCCTGCGGGAGCCGTCAGTCCCCGGCGCCCCGCTTCCCTCGCGCCCGGATGGGGTCGCTGTGTGCGCTCTGCACGCTGTTCGCACCGGAGCCGGCGGCACGCGGGCCTCGCCCTCCCCCGCTCCGAGCTCGCGCTGCCCCGGCAGCCGGGCCCCGGACCGCCTGAGCTCCGGCCGCTCGGAGCTGAGCAGGACCCATATGAAACAGGCCTTAACTGAAAACACGCACATGCACACGCGCACACACACACACACAGGACCGGTGCACGCACACACGCATGCACGCGTCACACACGCGATTCTGCAGGTAGATCCCGTCTCTCTCGCGGTCTCTGTGGCTTTAGGAAAAGAGCTGGCGGGCAGCTAGCGGGCCGAGTGGCATTTCCTCTCACCATACGGACACCTCTGCAGGCCAGTGTGGGCCCCAGGACCGGGAAGACGGACTCGGGGGGTTCGGGGGAACGTGGACAGAAATGGAGGTGCAGACGCTGCTGAGAAGCTTGCAGCTCACCAGCAGGTCCCAGCTCCACGTAGGTCCCTTCAGGCTTGAGGCTGTGGGGGTGCCCGTGCCCAGCACTGTCCCCATCCCCCCAGCAGAGCCCACGAACCCCTGTCCACGCCAGGAAGGTGTCCCGGCCCCTGGCCCAGTGCCTCCCGTCCCCATGTCTACAGGAAGTTGTGCCGTAAGACACGCTCCCCAGGGCCACAGACTTAAAAACCCTGTTGGCTTTTGTTAATGTTTTTCAACCCGGCTGGCTGGTCTCTGGCAGGAAGGGAGCCCTGGGCGCCTGCAGGGTGGCGTGGCGAGGCCTCAGCACGAGCCCCACGCGGAGGTCGGGGCGTTGTCTGTGGGCTGAGAGGCAGCCAGGTCATCGCTCAGCCGCCTCTGGGGCCCTCTCCCGCCACGCCCGTCGGGTTGGAATAGTGGCGGCGACTCCCAGGGTTCTTGGTCTTACTGCTCACCTGGCGGGCATCAGAGGGGGTCTGCCTGGTCCCCACGGACATCTGAAAGGTCAGGGGGAGCCAAGCCCCCAGGGAGGGGTGGCACTGTGGCCACTGCCATCTGCAGCCCCGGAACGCCACCAGGCGGGGTGATGCATGTGCCCGCAGACAGCAGACGCTGACCACCTCCTGCAGCCAGGTGCACACCACGCAGGCTCCCCGCCCCTCCTCAGCGCAGGTGCCGGTGAGAGGATGTTCGCAACTCGGGGTCAGAGCCTGAACACTCACACGCTGGAGGGCAGCCAGGGGAGATGCCAGGTCCCAGGAAACCAGGGTTCACCCGCATTCCTTCATCCATTCAACAGGTCCCCGCCCCAGCGCTCACCCCTCACCGGGAGCAGGTCCTGCGGTAGGCGGAGGCATCAGGACACACCCTGTCGGGGTGAGGCTGGGTCACCTGTGCCGGGACTAGCTGTGCCTCGGGGTCAGGAATGCTTAGATTCACACAGCGAGCAGGGAGCACTTACCTCGCCGTCCACAGGAGTGACTCGGAGGTGCCCTCCCCCATCCCCCCCCCCCCCCCCCCCCGTCTCTATTCCAAGACCCTGCCAGGCAGCTGGTGCTAGAATGATGCGTGTGAGTGAGTGGCTGTGGCCATTAGTCCACGTACCTAAAACTCCTATCTTCACGTCAGAGCCCGGCCCCATTTGCCCTCGACAGACTGAAATCCAGGGCTGCAGCGCCCCCCTCGGGGCACCACTCCCAGGCTGTCGCATCAATGAGCTGGGCTCCCCCCGCACCGTTTCTGCAGGCGGTGCCGGGAGCAGTGGCTCCTGGGCTTGTGCAGTGAGGGGCCCACCCACCCTGACCCCCCCTCTCAACGCACGGGATCCAGACGCACCAAGGCAGGCTGGCCCGAGCGCGTGGTGGAAAGTCACAGGTTGTGCGGCCGCCGCGAGCACACAGTGTGGCCACGCTGGAACCAAACCGGCGACTCGAGAGGACCGCTTTTCAGAGCTGCACCTGTTTCTCACGTGCAGCTCCCCCCCCCCCCCCACCCCCACCCCCGTCCTTTCCCTGTTTCCTGTGCCGGAGCCGGTGGGAACCTCGCCATCCAGCAACTGAAGGGGCAGGGCCTGGGGCTGTGCAATAACTCAGTGGGGACCCCGAGGGGGGCTCGGCCACCCGAGCAAGGCAGGACCCCCAGGGTCAGCGGGACAGGGGCCCGCGGCTCCGGGTGGGGCAGACGCGTTCCTCTCCCCCCTGAACCCCGGCGTCACGTGAACAGGCAGGGGGGCTCTGAGAGTCGATAACCGGGAAAACCAAAAACCAGTACTATTCCTGATACTATTACCGATACTCCGTGTACACGACGCCGTTTCACACTGACGCTGTTGCACTGCTTTTGTCTTTCTATCCAGTAGTTTTTATAAAATGTCCTTGGTTTTAATAAAGGAGTGTATGTCCGCTCGGCCCCGCTTGGACAGTTGCTCTCCTGGTGCCGCACGCGCTCCGGGCAGGGAACCTGCGCCCTGTTCTCGGTCACTGTCCGGGAGGGGAGGGCACGTCACCGTCCCACGCGGGCCTCGCCCCGGGGGGCGGGGGGGGGGGGTGGTATACTAGTATCTCAGGAGCTGTCTCAGACCATGGCTGGGCGCCAACTCCAGCCGCTGAGGTTGCAGGGAGGACCGGGCCCCCAGCATCCAAGAGGAACAAGCACTGGGCAAATGGGGTCTTGTGCCTCCAAGAACTGCCACCCACCGGGCCCGCGTCGGGTCCACGTGGGGCCCACTTGCCCCCCAGGCCTCAGCCTCCAACAGTTCGCCCCGAGCTGTCACTCCCAACAGCAAAGGGCCAGGCCCAGTTCCGTGCAGTTTCAGCATCACATGCTGTTCACAGCTCTCCTCCCTCCCAGTGGACTCGAGCCCCCCCTGATGGCCTAGTGGGTGGTGGGGGCTCAACCACGGAGCCACACCGGCCGGGCAATGCTCATGTTTCTTTGGCCCAGACAACCGACAAAACCAGGTCCCTGATCGTCATGTGTGCCAGTGTTCGTGGCGTGGACACTCTCGCCACGGCCACCTGCCCCGTGACGTGTGTGTGACACGTCCGGTCACAGACTCGGGGGGAGAGGCGGAGGCCGTTACACAGCACGCCTTATCCCCGTTTTTAATGCACTTAGTTATCTGTTTATAGGATTTCGGTCTTCACGGGCTGCATTTAGTAACTGGCTCACAAAATTAACACAGGCTGTCACAACCCCGTGCACGCTGCCTCCAGCAGGCCCCTGGGAACAGACGACCAGCGGAAACGCCGCTGTGGGAATAGATGCAGCCACTCAGAATGAATTGGGGCTCCGCAGGGGACCCGGGGGGATTGTCAAATCAGAAACGCAAAGCACAGGCAAGAGAATATAGGTTTGATCGCATTTTTATGACATATGGTCCCTCCCCCAACAAAACCTCTCTGTGTACAGTAATCCACCGTCGCATGAATGTTCAGAACAATCAGGTGACATGATCTGGGGGTGTAGGGTGTGTCTGTGGGAAGGAGAAAAGGTAGACAAGCAAAAGAGGAAAACAGAACACAAGAACGCCAATAGAACAAACTGCCCTACGTAACAGTGTCATTAGTGTACACGTCTGTGCCTGTGTGTCTTCATGTCATTAGAATATATTTTAAATATACTTTTATTGATTTCAGAGATGGTTAATGTAAGGGAGAGGGAAAGAGAGATAGAAACATCCATGATGAGAGAGAATCATTAATCAACTGGCCTCCTGCATGTCCCACACTGGGGATTGAGCCCACAACCCGGGCATGTGCCCTGACCAGGAATCAAACCCTGAGGTCCTGATTCATACAAAGGCCAGCGCTCAACCACTGAGCCACACCAGCCAGGCTAAAATACATTTTAAAGCAAGTCCTCAGTTGGGCAGTTGTTTAGGTTACTTATTGTTGTATAACAAACCACCCCAAAACTTAGCAGCTTAGAACAGCCGCAGCTATGAGAATTCTGTGGGGTGACCATCTGGGTTCTCCATTTCACAGGCTGTGGGCGGGGCACTGGGATGGCTGGGGGGTCACATGACCTGCCTCACACGGCTGGCGGTTGATGCTGGCGAGGAGCTGGGAGCTAGCGGGGCTCTCGGGTGGGGACCTCGGTTCTCCCGCGGGTGGGCCTCTCCACAGACCTGCTTGGGCTTCCTCACAACATGGCCACTGGAGTGAGCAAGGGGGTGGGCAGAGGGGGTGAGGGGAGAGGAGGTGCAAGAGTCAAATTATAATGGGCCTTGTAGACGGCGGTAGGACCGTGGCTGGTATTCCGGTGAAGCGTGGGAGCCTTTGCGAGGTTTTGAGCAGAGGAGCCACGGAACCTGGCTTAGTGTTACCAAAGGCTCACGCTGGTGGCTGTGCGGAGAACAGGCTTTAGGGCGAGGATGAAGGGGCTTCTTCCCCAGACAGAAGCGGGGTGGTGGGGAGGGGGGGGAGACGAGGTCAGAGTCTGGAATCATTTTGCAGGTAGAGCCTACTCTATTTCCTGACAGATCTGACAGGGGAGGGGGAGACAGAGGGGCACCATGGGTGAACCCAGGCCCTGGGCGGAGCAAGTGGAAGACCAGGCTGCAGCCAGCAGGACGGGGAGGCTTGGAGGCGGTCGGGAGCTCAGTGGTGGACACAGAGCTTCAGAAAATGCAGAGTTGATGCCCCAGGGGACTGTCATGGAGGTCCCTGGCTGGAAATAAGAACAGGTGCCCAGGATAGAGGTATGACGTGGGCGTCACTGGCATCTCCACGGTGTTTAAGCCTCCAGACAGTATCACTAAGGGAGCGACTGGTTAATGTAAGGAGACACAGAACAAGGTGTGAGTTCTCCCTAACCATAACTGTCCAGACAGGATCACTAAGGGAGCAACTGGTTAATGTAAGGAGTCACAGAGCAGATATGGGTTCTCCCTAATCCGAACCCTAACCCTAACCCTAAACCTAACACTGACCCTAACCCTAACCCTAACCCTAACCCTAACCCTAACCCTAACCCTAACTCTAACCCTAACTCAACCCTAACCCTAACCCTAGCCTTAGCCCTAGCTCTAACCCTAACCCTAGCCCTAGCCGTAGCCCTAGCCCTAGCCCTCCAACATGTTCAAGGTCAAGGGGATAGGCAGAACCAGCAGGAGTAGGAGGCACTGGCAGATGGGCACAGGGTCCTGGGTGCAGGGTCCTGGGCGCAGGTGTGGCGAGGGCGGCCAGGAAGGCTGGGCCGAGTGGCATGCTGCTGGCTCCGGGAGGCCAGGAAGCTGGGCTCTGGCCCAGGACTGTGCGTTTCAGGTTGCGGACCAGTCCTCATTCAGGGCAGTGTTAGGGAATCCATGGGGCAGAGAACTTGCCTGGGGGTCAGGAGAAGTAAAAAAATGGGGAGTTTTGCTTTTTCAAGAGGGGAAAGGGACAGGGCCAGAGGGCCAAAGAAGTGGGAGACGAAGGCTTTCATGGCAAGGGGACTACTGGACGCTCGAACGCTGTGCTAAGAGCTGCCGACAGGGGAGCTGGCCGAACACCTATCCTGAGCCTGCATGATGGGCGGGGCCAGGCGCCCAACAGGGCCCCAAACAGACTGCCCCGCCCCACGCTGCCTGGGCTCTGATGGGCCTCACCCACGTGCCCTGGCTCTGCCCTGCACCCCCACCTTGAGAGGAGTGGGAGCCCCTGAGCCGGCAGAGGCCCTGCGCTGTGATGGGCGTGGTCCGGGGCAGCAGGCACCCTTCTAAAGGAGGCCCCTGATGCTGTCAGTCACCCCCTTTTCATGAACTTTCTCAGAAAATAACCGAGCAGCTGGCAGATATTCAAGCCAAAGCCCAGAGCGGGAGGGGCGGCAGCAAGATGTGACTTCGCGGGAACTTGCAGCCTGCGTGAGCAGGGATGTCTGTCTGTGGCTCCGGCTGGTTTCTGAACACGACGGTGAATAAATATTGGTCTCCCTTCTGCAGCCTTTTCCATCTGGGGGTTCAACCAAGCAGGTGCTGCCGCCCCTGGTTTTCTAGAACCGGGGAGAGGGGCCCAGAGAGGGAGGGCGGCACCTGTGTGTTCAGAGGCTGCTGTATCTTAGACATCATTGCATTCTTATCAGAGGCAGCGAGTGCAATGTGTGCTAAGTGAGCTGAAAGGGTTTGACGTTCATGGAACATTTTTCCTAAACACACATCCACACATGGGGGCGGGGGGCGGGGGGTGAGGGATGTCTTCGTCAGACCAGGTCCTGGCAGGGCAGCCCCAGGCCCTCGCCCGCACACCTGCCAGCTGTGCCCGGAGGAGGAGGAGCCCAGTGCCCTGCCAGCCAGCACCTGGCCATCTCCCTGTCCGGCTCCACTCCACCTGCCAAGCTGGCCCTGGAAGCCGTGCTGCCAAGGGAAGAGGCGTTCAAAACTTTGTCTGCACCAGGAGGGGCCTGGGGCGCCCACCCCCGGGGAGCAGCCTGACGGGCCAGCTGTCCAGGGGCCTGGGGCTCCTTCCCCTGCCGGGCTGCCCGGCCTGTGGGTCTGGGCAGGACCCTCCTGTGGCCTCAGTGGCCCAGCTCCTCGGGGCCTGGCTCTGGTCTCCAAGAGGCAGCGCCTGCTCCTTGCCTCTCGGCTCTCCAAGGCCAAGTCCGCACCTCCTGCGACTGCCAGCCGGAGCCCGGTGAAGCCTGCCGTGTGACTTCCGGTTGGGTCACCAAAGGCCAGCAGCTTCCTCCGGGGACACGCAGAGCCCGGCTGTCCTGCTGGGAGAAGCTCGAGGGCGCAGAGCAGCCCCGGCACCCGGCATCAGCAGGGCCAAGCCCAGCGTGGACCAGACGGATGTGTAAGCCGAGCTGCCTCGGGGGGACCCCCCCACTTACCAGGAGGAAGCAATGCCAGTTCCCCTGTGCTGGGGGGGGGGGCAAGTGGGGGGGCGGGGAGTGATGGGCGTGATTCGTGACTCGCTGTGCAGGACCCGGGCTAGGAAGGCTGGGAAAGGTCAGAAGAGGGAGCCAAGGGCTCCACCGGGAGGAAGTTGCAGCCCAGCAGGCGTGGCTCAGTGGTTGAGCGTTGACCTAGGAACCAGGTCACAGTTCGATTCCGGTCGGGGCACATGCCTGGGTTGTGGGCTCGATCCCCGGTGTGGGGCGTGCAGGAGGCCGCAGAGCCATGATTCTCTCTCAGCACTGATGTTTCTCTCTCTCTCCCTCTCCCGTCCTCTCTGAAATCAATAAAAATAAATTTTAAAAAAGAAGAAGTTGCAGAATGTTCCCGGCCTGGGGTCCGGAGACTCGGCTTCCCGCGCTTTACTCACTCTGGTTCCGGCGTTTCGGGCCCAAAGCGGCTCCAGTTTCTACACCTGGACCAGGCCCCGGGCGCTCGGCGGGCACAGGCCCATCGCGTACCGCGCTCTGGGGACTCCGCAAACGCGCTCTCAGGGAGCGGCAGCCACTCGCCCAGGACCGTGCAGGCCTTCCCGCGAGGCCACACGGCTCCTGTGGCTCCAGGCGGCGAGGGAAGCAGGGCCTGGAGCTGCGGGTCCTCCTTGGCCTCTGTGCTTTCAGCGGAGCTGCTGACCCGCTGGCCTCGCTTCCTGGCCGAGGGCACCGGCCAGAGGTCAGAGCAGCGAGCCCGGAGCTGAGCGCAGCCGTAACGCTGGTGTGCGGGTGTGTGTGTGTGCGGGTGTGTGTGTGCGGGTGTGTGTGTGCGGGTGTGTGCGTGCGGGTGTGTGTGTGCGGGTGTGTGTGTGCGGGTGTGTGTGTGTGCGGGTGTGTGTGTGCGGGTGTGTGTGTGCGGGTGTGTGTGTGTGCGGGTGTGTGTGTGCGGGTGTGTGTGTGTGCGGGTGTGTGTGTGCGGGTGTGTGTGTGCGGGTGTGTGTGTGTGCGGGTGTGTGTGCGTGCGGGTGTGTGTGTGCGGGTGTGTGTGTGTGCGGGTGTGTGTGTGCGGGTGTGTGTGTGTGCGGGTGTGTGTGTGCGGGTGTGTGTGTGTGCGGGTGTGTGTGTGTGTGTGTGTGTGTGTGCGGGTGTGTGTGTGCGGGTGTGTGTGTGTGGGTGTGTGTGTGTGCGGGTGTGTGTGTGTGGGTGTGTGTGTGCGGGTGTGTGTGTGTGTGTGTGTGTGTGTGCGGGTGTGTGTGTGCGGGTGTGTGTGTGTGCGGGTGTGTGTGTGCGGGTGTGTGTGTGTGCGGGTGTGTGTGTGCGGGGGGGTGTGTGGGGGGGGGGTTCAGCCCGCTGGTGGGCTCAAGTCCCTGAGGAGAGGCTCGTGCACAGGGCTTATGTGGAGGTAAAAGCCCGCCTGTGCCTCGAGGCCCTCCCGGGCACTAATGTGCCAGCTGATCTGAAACACTCGCGGATAAGTGAACGAAGTTGCGCACTGTTGGTCTGCCCGGGTCACTTGGCCGCTCTCTCTGGAAGAATCATTTCTGGAACATCCCACTGTTCCTTTCCCGCCACCCAGGCCCCCAGAGTCTGCTGCCCCAGCTCAGCCCGGAACCCAGGAGCCGAGGGGCCCGGGTGCCCCCGGGGCAAACCGGCCAGTGGTGAGGGCCGTGAGCGCTGAGGTGAGAGAGGCTGGAGTGCCCTCTGCCCGGCCGCCCAGGTCTCACCAGGAGGAGCCGTGGGGGCAGGGCCTGGGGGGCGGCGGGGGCTTTGAACTGTAACCACAGAGAGGGGGGAGGCACGCGTCTGCAGACAAGCTGTTCGCTCCCAGCTGACTTTGGTGAAAGAAAAAATATTCCTCGTGCCATCTGTTCCCAGAGGCGGCGCTGGTGCGGCCCGGGGCTCCCGCAGCCCAGCCCGGCAGCCAGACCCAGTTTCAGGCCCAGGCAGCTGCCCCGGGGTTATTTTGGGAAGCGGCTCAACTCCTGCAGCTCAACTCCTGCCCCTCCGCCTTCGAGGCATTTCCCGTCACTCACTCCGAGCTGCTGGACACCCAGCCCGGCCGCCCGCTCCTCCGCCCTGGGCGCGTCCTGCGGCCTCTAGAAGACCCCGCTTCCAACTTTGCGGTGACGTCGGCTGGAGTCCGATTTCGTGGGATGGAGGGGAGGGAGCAGGGAGAGCCAGGGTGCTGGGTGGTGGGCTACACAAGGGAGGGGCTCCATGGGAGCCACTCCTTCTACCCACCCCCAGGCACCGGACCCCCCAGGCGTCCACCCTGTCCCAGGGCCCATCCCTCCTCCATTCTCTCCTCAAGGATGTCCCCTCCTCTTATGAGTGACATGTGCTAGGTAGTTGGGATGAGGGCATCTCAGGCAGGGCTGACAGTGTTCAGCGTGGAGAGGCTGGGGTGGGCAGGGGACAGACGGGGGTCAGTGGGGAGGTCAGAAGCCAGCAGTGCCAGGAGGACCCAGAACCTCCGGCACCTCCTGGGGACAGACTGGGAGACTCTGAGCCCCCATCCACCGCAAGGACTTCTTCCCTGTGACGTGGGCATGGCTCACGATTTTAGCCACGGGGTGGGCCTGGGCCTCGGTGCCTCGGGCAATAACTGGGTTAACTTCCCCGAGTGGCTCAGGAATGTGGGTTTGGAGTCACGTGGGGCTCCTGCGGCTGGATGGTGATCCTGGGACCGTCACCCCGGGCGGCAGCAGCTGCTCGAGGGCAGGCCGGGCCCCTGGCCATCAGCCCTGACCCCTGAGAGTCCCTGCTGCCCTCCCAGCCAGACCTCAGACCTGAGGGCCGGTCACATGGCCGGGCTCCGGCTGCCCCGGGGGGGACAGGAGCACCTCCATAGCAGCCTGTGGGGACAAGGCTGCGCCTGGGTCACCTCATGTTTATGCATATTTAACGCCCTCCCAGGGCCCTGGCAGGCTCCCCAAATCCCTCCCAGAAACATTTCTGTTAAAATAAACTGAGCGAGGCCAAAGGTTGGCTCAAAACGGATCCACGTCTAGTGGTTCAGAGGTTCTCAAGCAGAAGGAAACGGAGGGGGCGGGCCTGGGCCGGGGAGGCGGCTGAGCAGCAGCTGGGGCGGTGACGGTTAACTCGGGGGTCCCCGGGGCCCCCTGTCCGGGCCGTCCTTCAGCTTGTGCTTGCAGAAGAGGCTGTAGAGGACCCGCAGCGTGCTCTTGCTGTCCTTGTTCACGATGTCTGTGCCAGGGAGAGCAGGGCGGCCGGTCAGGCCGGGCCAGGGGTGACCGTCCCAGTGCCGGGACCCAGGGGTGGCCTGGGACTTGGGGCTTCAGTGCTAACTCAACTCCCCAAACCCCAGGCAGGCCTGGCAGCTGGGCACGCCCAGCCTGAGTCCCAGGCAGGACCGGTCGCACGGCCCTGCCCCTCCTCCCACCGTCCTCCCCGGCACCCCTCTTTTGGTACAGAAAGTCCTCAGGGTCTCACCTCTCCGGCAGCCCATCACCAGGGACTCGTCCCCCATCTCCTCTCCCCGGATCCTCCCCCACAGGGTGAAGCCACAGCGTCCCCCACAGCGTCCCCCACAGCAGCAAGAGGCTGGAGTGCACCTACCAGCACTGCCCTCCCCCGTCCCCGCCTCCCCCTCTGCGTACCCGCCCCGAGGCTGAGGCCCCTGTGGCCGCCGCTCACCTTCGGGGCTGACAGGGTAGTCGAGCAGGCCTTCGTCCTTCAGCAGCTCCAGGGCCAGGGTGACATTGTGCAGCTACAACAACAAGACCCCCCAGACGTTGGCAAAACAAGGCAGCCCCAACCCAGGCCGGGGCCCCCATGGCAGGCCCACCCTCATCCATGACGTCCAATGCGCACCAAGGAGGCCACCTCTAGTGGGAATGCAGCCACTGAGGAGAGCACCCAGCCTGCCAGTCAGGGAAGGCTTCCTGGTGGAGGCGGCCTGGAGGTAAGTCCGCCAGGGGAGGGGACTTAGCCAGGGGTAGGAGCACCAGTCCCTCCTGGCCTCTTCTGAGGTGGCCCCTGACCCTGTGGGTGACAGATGCCCTCAGAACCAGCTGCGTTCCATAGGCAAAGCATAGATAAAGGAGACCGGGGCTCCCAGTGGCCATGGGGATTATCTAAACTCACAAGATGGGAAGGGCTGGAACCAGGTCTGTCTCGCTCTGACGCCCATGCACGGCAGGCTGGAGGCTGGCAGAGCCGCCCGGCCCAGGCCCCCCGGGGCCCTAATTCCGGCTCGGTCACTGGATGACCTGAGCCGGGGAGCAGGTCGCTTGGTCCCAGGCCTCCCCTTGTTCACCTGCGGGGTTGGGGTCACCACCCCTCCCCCGTGCCTTGATAGGGGATACCGGGTGGGGAGCCCTGTCAGCCCGGGGCTCAGAGCAGACCCTGGGTCGGGGGTCACCTCCCTTTCACATCTAGTCTCGCCCCTGGGCCTCAGGTCCAATCCGATAGAGCCTACCCTTCTGTGTGGCAGCAGAGAGAGGGGGTGAAGTGGACAGCGAGCCCTAAAGCTGGCTGAACCCCTGATTCCCTGGGACCTCCAGCAGGTCCTTCCTCCCATGGTCTCAGGCACCCAATGGTCCACTGGGGGCTGGACATTCCAGACTGGTGGCAGCCTTCCCAGCCCTGCCCACAGCGGGCATCACACATGCCAGGCAGTTCCCATGGCAACCCAGCCAGGCCTGGAGGCAGGGCTGGGCGGGGTGGGGCGGGGGGGAGGAGTCCAGCCTTCCCCAGGCTGCCTCCTGTCACCTGGGAATCTGGGCAGGTCGAGTCTTGAGATCTAGGCTGTATGTCTGTGGATCACCCCACCAGGTCAAAGGTCACAGGTCAGACAAGTCACGGGGCCTGGCTGGGCTCAGTCCCTCATCTGTGCTGTGGGAAAGCCCACCTTCCCGCCTGCCGCTCCCAGGCTGCCGTGCGGGTCCAAGGTGACGATGGACAGGAATGGGAGGCACCCTGCGAGCTCTAACCGCCTGCTGACTCCCGTATCTGGGACACGTGGGAGGGCTGCAAGGCCCCTGAGAAAGGACTCTCCCGGAGGGAGTAGGGGTGTGGGTCGCAGTCCTGGCCCAAGGGCACTGGGCAGGGTGGGGGAGTGTCTTCTGCCTGCCCCCACGGACTCCTGCTGTGCCCGGGGGCCAGGGGCTGGCGTCCTCCGGGCAGCTGGCTCCCTGGGGCTGCGAGTGGCCGCGGGCCCTGCCTTGGGGTCTGAAAGGTGGGTGAGCAGTTGGTGTTGGAGCATCGGACGGACAGAGGGGTTGAGCTGGCGCAGGTCCAGGATGCAAGAGAGAGTGGGAGCGGGGCCAGCGGCCGCAGGGCTGTCCCCTCTCAGTCAGCCAAGGCGAAGACACAAGAGCCGCCCCCGGCCCCCAGCAGGCCACGCCTCGGGGCTGGAGGGCACCTCCGAGGGAGCGGGTCCGAGCCCACCACGCGTCCCGTCACTGTGTCCCCAAGTCTTCTCCCCAGACTGGAATATTCTGGAAAATGAGGGTTGCATGGCTGCTGTTGTCCACATTCTCAGGAACACGATTCCCAGGCTGCACAGAGTCACCGTGGGAGCGAGGAGCCCAGCGCTCCCGCCTCGCAGCCCTGCCTCTGATCCGGGGTAGAGACGGAGGCGAGTCCGTGACCAAACCGTCTGGGGAAATGCTGGCTGAGCACAGGGATAAGAAACCCTTTGCTGCCCTGACCGGTTTGGCTCAGTGGATAGAGCGTCGGCCTGCAGACTGGAGGGTCCCAGGTTCGATTCCAGTCAAGGGCATGTACCTTGGTTGCGTGCAGGTACCCAGTGGGGAGTGCAGGAGGCAGCTGATCGATGTTTCTAACTCTCTGTCCCCCTCCCTTCCTCTCTGTAAAAAATCAATCAAATATATTTAAAAAAAAAAAAAAAGAAGAAGCCCTTTGCTGAGTGTGTCCTGGTGTCGTGAACCTGAAGATTACGCGTGTTTTCCCAAGTGATTTGACCACAGGGTCCCTGAGACCAGTGTTTTGGAAACACTTCCTTCGTTCACTTATTTCTCGCTCTGAGCCAGGAGCTGCCCGGCCCAGATGCCTCTCCACGCTCTGCCCAGGGCATCACGTTCCTTCCATGCGGCTTGGCTACGATGAAGGTGAAACGTGGTTTTCTGCGGAGCCGAGGGGAGGCTGCGACCCGGAGGATGTGTTCAGACCCTCCGAGGAGCCATGTTGAATGTGGGCAGAAGGACGGAGCTGTCCCCGGGGCTGTGAGTCCCAGGACAGACGCTCTCTCCCGCCATCCCTGCGGCAATCTCGCGCAAACACCGCTGGCGAGGAAGGTCGGGTCGCTCTGCCAGGGTGGCAAGTTCTGTCCTCGCTGGGTAATGCCCCTCGGTGTGTCCTGCATCCGTTCCTGCAGCCGAGGGCTCCAGTCACGGCCCATACAACTCACTCCCGGGCCGAGCAAGGAGGCTGCCTCTCCCCACATTTCCGGTGGCTCGTCCTCGGCAGCCGGCTCTCAGATCGGTGGTGCGGGCGTGTGTCCCTGGCTTGTCACCGGGGTTTGGAGGTGAGCAAGATAATGAGCGTGAGCCATGATGTCCCACCAGCACCGAGTCACAGAGGGCTGTGCTGCTCTGGGGCCCAGCCTGCGTGTGTCCCGCCCACGCCTCCCCCGCACTGTTCACATGTCTGAGTCCTGTCTCCGGGACACGGGCAGCACCCAGGCCTCAGCCCCAGCCTTGACCCTCCAGAGCCCGGCGCCATCCCAGCAGCTTGGGGCCAGCCTCCTTCTGGTCGTCTCCCTTGGGGCTCACAGTGACTCCCCAGGAAGGAAACGAACGGGGAGGCAGCGCTGGCTTTGGAGACAGGTGAGCCTGCTGCCTAGTGACTGGTAAGAACCTGCGTGTGTTGCCCTTGTTCCCACACCCCCAGGCCCATGAGTGAGGGAGCTACACTGCTCCCCGCTGCTGGGATCTTCCTTGGAATGGGGATCAGCCCTGCACCTGGGATGGTGGAGACCACACCCACTGAAGGCAGGGACCACACCCACTGGAGGCAGAGGACATGCCCACTGGAGGCAGAGACCACGCCCACTGAAGGCAGGGACCACGCCCATTGAAGGCAGGGACCACACCCACTGGAGGCAGAGGACATGCCCACTGGAGGCAGGGACCATGCCCACTAAAGGCAGAGACCACGCCCACTGAAGGCAGGGACCACACCCACTGAAGGCAGGTCCCCAAGGTGCAAGGGATGAACAGCAGGCCCAGATGTGAGGAGAGGGGCTGAGGAAGGGACCTGGAGCAAGGCCAGGTGGGGGCCTGGAACTGGGCCAGAAACAAGGGTGTGAGCCTCACGCCCCCCAGGCAGGCTCAGGGACACTCGGGGACATCAAAGGAGACAGGAACCTTCCGTCCTCCCAGAAGTGCCCCCAGGAAGAGCCGCTGCTGCGGAGAGATAAGGGGTTGCCCTCCTGCCCTGGTTGGCGCTGAGCGGGCCAGGGGACCCTGTGTGACACAGCTGAGCTGGCCGCCTGGGGTTGTGGGAGGCCACCAGCCCCCTGGTTCCCACAGACCACACCTCCACGCCGCCTCCTGCCAGGTGTTCATTCACGAGGACTCGGCTGAGCCCCGGTGGGCGGGGACCAGGGCCACATGCCCCTCGGTGTTCCCCCCTCCTGGTTCCCCAAACTCTTATTATCTGCATGACTGGGGGCCATTGGGGGTTTGTGAGCCCATTTTAGAGACAAGAAGCCTGAGGTGCAGGCAGCAAGTGGCAGGGAAGGAGGCCAGAGCCCTCTGCCAAGTCCTCCTGCCACGGCCCAGCGACCAGCTGCTGCCCGTGTGGGCCTCAGTCTCCTCCCGGGGGTCACAGGATGCTCTCGCTGGCAGGAAGTCCATGTGGGAAGGGGGTTTCTGTCAGGGGAACAGCCTGCGCAGACGCCCAGAGGTGGGGGAGCGGCACAGGTGCCAGGAACTACGAAGGCACGTGTGATGGGGCTTGGCGGCTGGGGACGGCCGCGGGGCAGGGGTGCGGAGCAGGGGCCCACGAGGCACCAAGACTGTGGGGCTGTTTTCTGAGGTTCGCCCTGTCACTTCCCCCAGCAGCATCATTCTCTCCATCCGCCCCCAGGCCAGGCCACAGACCCCTGCCCGGACTAAGGCGGCCATCTCCCAGCCAGCCTGCCAGCCTCCAGGGCCCACGGGGGACTCCTGACGCCCACGGGGCCAGGCCCCCGCCGCCCCGGCAGCCCCAGCCGCCCTGAAATCTCTGTGCTGTGTCCACAGCGGAGCCTCTGTTGGCACCGTTCCCCACTGTTAGGGTTTGACTCTGCAGACCAAGCCCTAACCAACTCCACGGTCCCCTCTAGACAATGTCTCTCCTGATTTCTTCTGGTTCTACTGACCACTCGCTCCTTCAGATCCCCCGACCCACCCACAGGAGCCCTGGAAGACTGTGCATCACTGAGAGCACAGGGGAAGGGGGGGCGCGCGTGGACTGGGGGCTCCCAAAGAAGGAGCTGTGCTGGGCTGTCTTTCTGGCCAACACGGCACAGGGCCTGTCTCCAAGCAGGGCCTCAGGAATGAGGGGCCAGGTGCACGGTGGATGGGCGGGTGGGTGGGTGGGTGGCTGGGTGGACAGGCAGATGAATGAATAGATGGAGGGTGGATGGGTGGGCAGGCAGATGAGTGAATGGATGGATGGATGGATTGGCGGCTGGGTGGATGGGCAGCTGGGTGGATGGGTGGATGGGTGGATGGGCTGATGAGTGAATGGATGGATGGATGGATGGATGGGCGGCAAGTGAAGGGTTTAAGTAATTGGGTGAATGAGTGAATGGGCAAGTCAACAGATAGATGTGTGGGTGGGTGGGTGGGAGGGTGGGTGGATGAGAGGACATACGGGCAAACAAACGTGCGCTCCACCCTTCATGTCACTGGAGGTGATAAGTAAAGATGGGCCGTGCCGATTGCACAGACCGGTCCACTCAGAGGCAGACCCGCAGAGAATGTCCCTGGAGACTCACCATCTCCGCGGGGGAGTTGGGCGTGAGGTAGAATTCCTTCAGGTGCAGGAAGAAGCCCTCCAGTTGTCCAATCAGCAGGAGTAAGATGACGCCATCTGCAAACTACAGAGGGGGGCGCTGGGCACATGGCCTGGGTGCTGGGCACATGGCCTGGGCGCTGGGGGCACATGGCCTGGGCGCTGGGGGCACAGGGCCTGGGAGCTGGGCACATGGCCTGGGGGGCACATGGCCTGGTGCTGGGCACATGGCCTGGGAGCTGGACACATGACCTGGGCGCTGGGGGCACATGGCCTGGGCGCTGGGGGCACAGGGCCTGGGAGCTGGGGGCACAGGGCCTGGGCGCTGGGGGCACATGGCCTGGCGCTGGGCACATGGCCTGGGAGCTGGGGGCACATGGCCTGGGCGCTGGGGGCACATGGCCTGGGCGCTGGGGGCACATGGCCTGGGCGCTGGGGGCACATGGCCTGGGAGCTGGGGGCACAGGGCCTGGGCGCTGGGCACATGGCCTGGCGCTGGGGCACAGGGCCTGGGGGTCCCACTCTCCTTTCCCAGGCCGAGGGGCCCTACCGAGGTCACACAGCCTCTCTGGGCCTCAGCTTCCCTGTCTGAGACATGGGGCCGGCGTCCCTGGCCTTGAAGCATTGCTGTAAACGCAGCCACAGCAGGTACAGAGTGGCTGTTGGCTGCCAGCACCTCGTACGTGCTGAGAGAAGCGCTGTCCTACATTTCCAGGGAAAGACCTCATCGCTCTTTAAACCACACACTGTCCAGGAGCTCCAGGAGCACAGGAGAGAACGGAGCTAAGAGGAAAATCATTCCATCGGGAAAAGGCAGCGACCGGCGCACGGCTCCCTGGGCCGGCGGCCGCATTAATATTTCTGCCAGTTCCGCCTGTGTGCACAGAGATAAAGCCGTCGTCCTGGTACCGGCGCGGCATATGCTAATACAACCCAATTCCGCCTCTTCAAAGAGACAAAACACCAGTCTCAGGAAAACCACCCTCCAAAGACCTTCATGGAGATGCCCCGTGTTAGGGCCTCTCTGAGTGGCTGGCTCGGCCTGGACTCTCTCCAGTTGGCATATCCTGGTGATACCACCCAAATACCAGGCCTTCAGGACCCGCTCTGCCCACCCGCCTCTAGCACCGGCCTCGTCCAGGCCGTCACCCTCCAGACACCATCGCGTTCCCAGGGGAGAGGGGGAGCAGGTGGGATGCGAACCCGAGAAACCGCCTACCTGGGCGTCCAGGTTCTGCACGGACAGGCCCAGGCGCTCCACCTTCTGGTTGACGAAGGTCACGATGGCCTACCCAGGGAAGAGCAAGGACCCAGCCGGGGCTCAGGGTGCCACCTTCCCCCTCGGGGGACAGACAGCCCCCCTCGGCCCACAGCACCCGGCGCACAGCAGGTGTAGACCAGGGCCCCGTTTCCTCCCCTTTGTCCCCCAGGCATGGCCCAGGCGTGCGGGGGGCGGGGCGGGGGAACAGAGCTGCGGGGACTCGGGTCTCTCACCTCCTTCACGGCGCCCACCTTCTCGGGAGCCAGACTGAACAACTCATCGAAGACGTCCTCTGCAGACAGACCCACAAAGTGCTCGTCACAGTGATGTTATCTCTGAGCCAAACAGGGACTTCCTCCCACCCGTTTCTCAGCGTTACCAGGCCAGGGGGAGCTGGCGTTTTAGCTCAAGCTCCTGGAATTTAAAATCGGGCCTGGGGCCAAGCCACTGCCTCTCTGGCTGTGTGGCTCAGGGGGCTGGCCGCCCCTCTCTGTGCCTTGGTTTCCTCGCCTGTAAAGTATGGCTGATAAAACCTTCCAGCTAGGGCAGCCGTGGGCAAACTACGGCCCGCGGGCCGGATCCGGCCCGTCTGAAATGACTAAAACTAAAAAAAAAAAGACCGTACCCTTTTATGTAATGATGTTAACTTTGATTTTATATTAGTTCACACAAACACTCCATCCATGCTTTTGTTCCGGCCCTCCGGTCCAGTTTAAGAACCCATTGTGGCCCTCGAGTCAAAAAGTTTGCCCACCCCTGAGCTAGGGTCATTGCAAAGATTGAATTTGGTAGCAAAGATCAAATTTGGCGTGCTGGCTGGGCCACTATGAACTTCAGTAAACGTCATCCCTCTGCAGGGGATGCCGGGGATGGAATCTGCACCGCCCCTCCCCCCCACCCCTTCCTCTGGAAACTTGCCCGTCTCCCCCAGTTCCCTGCTCCACCCACAGGCCCACGGAGCAGGTGGCTGAGCAGGGGGCCAGCCCCGGACGGACACGGGCCCCCAGGTCTCCTCGCGGGCCTTTGTGGACTGGCAGAATGAGGGCATCGAGCCCTCCCAGAGGCCTGAGCCTGAGCGTGCACAGGGCCAGTGGAGGCAGCTGAGCCACGCCCACGGGGTCTGGGGACAGAGCATCTCGGCAGCTCAGGCTCCTGGTCCAGCCTCAGACACCTGAGTCCTCAGACTGACGCCCTTTGTCCACAGCCTGCATTTTCACTCTCGGCAGCTAACACCCTCCCCCAGGGAGGCTGGTCCTCAGCTCTGAGTACACAGACTGAGTAGAAGTGACCTTTGGATTCTGCCACTCAGTAGAAGTGACTTTTGGATTCTGCCACTCAGCCGCTGTGTGACCCCAGGCAAGTCACTTGGCCTCTCTGTGCCTGTGGTTCCTTCATTAGTGAAGGGGAAGAGCGGCACCAGATAGCGCCGTGCGCATCGAAAAGCCCCGTAAGCCAATGACCACAGTGCAAACACCGGGTCCCTACCAGGCCTCTTGGCCAGTGGCCAGGCAAGTGTCCTCGGAGGAGCCAGGAGTAGAGGCAGACATGTGCTCAGCTGACGAGGCCAGCGCAGCACGAATATGCTAGAAACGGGCTGAGGAGGCCCTGGTCTGTGGCCTTGCCCCTTACCGTGTGACCCATCCTCATGCTGCCCCCGAACAAACACTGCTCCCTGGGCAACCCCAGTGTCCTCATGCTGGCCCCCCACATACACACACACTCTCTCTCTCATCCGGCCTTGCACCTCCTTCTCCTCCCTGCCCCCAGTCAGCCTCCCTCCGCTCCCCTTCACAGAAGCCCTGGCAGTCATTATTTCTTTCTCCAGGTGAGGTGCCCCTTGGAGAAGCCCCTGCCCATATAGCTCTGTGTTCTGTACGGGTGGAAAAAAAATGTTAGGATGGTGGATGGATGGATTGGTAGATTGATGGGTGGATGGTGAATTAATAGATTGGTGGATGATGGATGGATGGATGATGGATAGATGGGTTGGTAGATAGATGGATGATAGATGGATGGGTGGATGGATGGATAGATGGATGGATTGGTGGGTGGATGGATGATGGATGGATGGTGGATGAATGGATTGGTGTGTGGGTGGATGGATGGATTGCTAGATAGATGGGTGGGTAAGTGAATGGATGAATAGATGAACAGCTGGCCATTCCAGTTGCCCGAGGAACAAATGAGTGAGTGAGTGAATAAATGAATGAATGGATGGAGGAAGGAATGGCTGGGCCAGTCAGTCGGCTGGTGAGGAGCTCTGCACAAAAGCAGCAGCCACATGATTGAACAAGCACTATTAAGCACCCGCTATGTGCTGAGCACATTTACAAATCCTCTTTTAACCTCATCACCAGCCTAAGAGGTGTGTGCCATTATTCATCCCATTTTACAGATGAGGAAACTGAGGCACCGGTGGGTTGAGAGACTTTCCCAAACTCATGTGACTAATAAATGGGAGGTTTTGCGTGTGAACCCAGGCCACCTGGCTCCCGAGCCCACACTTAACAGCTCCGTCCTCACCACCCATGGGGATGAAACATCGCTCCCCCCATGTGAGCCATAGCGTGAGAAGCAACAGCCATGCCAGGCAAGGACAGACAGAAAGGGACAAAGGGACCAGAAGAAAGCGCGAGTCCACAGGCAGGCCACAAAGGGAGGGGCACCAGAAGCCAGCCCTCCGTGGCCGCATGGCCGGTGCCACGCGTGCGACAGAAACAGACTCCCTCGTGGTCCGACAGTACTCACTTGCAGCTCGGTCCTTGTCTGCGCTAAGGGGGGGATAGGGGGAGAAAATGCAGATAAATGGTTAAAAACCTTGAGACCGACAGCTTTTCACTATGACAGGGCTTGGCCCCAGCAAGGCTGACAAAGAAGCCGGCGTCTTTTATCCCTGACAGCTTCGTACGGGGCAGGGCCCTGTGGACCGACAGCGAGAGAGCTCAGGCCCCGCCCTGGAGGTTTCCACACCCGCAGATGCCCGGATCTTGTTGTTTTGGGGGTCTCCCTTCTAGTTCAGGGGAGGGAAGTGTATTATACCGACAATAAAATGCACCAATCCTTCGTTTATAGCTTCCAGATGTTTACGCACTTGTGTGATCCCCACCCTCATCAAGGCATGGAACCGTCCCGGCACCCACAGCGTGCCCCCCGCCCCCCACTCTGCCCCCCAGACGCTCCCCTGCTTTGGCTTCTCCGGCCCGGCCCTGGCTCCTGCCTGTTCAGAAGTCTGGGCAAGTGAGGTCACGCGGGAGGCCCGCCGCTGGCTTCTCTCACTCCATTTTTACTGTCTTGACTTTTTGTTCACTTTCTTGTTAAATTTCCCACCCCGCCCCTGTCCCCGAGAAGCAAGGCTCTGGGCCCGAAGTAGGCCACGCTCTGGGGAGCCAGGGCCCCTCTGCAGGGAGCCGGGTGGGGGTTCGGGGGCAGCATAAAGGCAGAGGCGCCCCGTGGGGTCCAGGACACAGCTGGGAGCCAGAGGTGGCCCTCGCGCCATGTCTGAACTCACGGGGCAGAGAGGGGCGGTTTGAGAGTCACAAAGGGTGAAGGAACGTGGTGTCATGGGCTCCAACGGCACCGTCCCACTCCAGGTCCCCACATCATTCTCCCCTGGAACTCAGGCCTGGCTGGGGCGGCTCACGGGAGGTCACTCGGCCTCACTGGGTCGGGGGGACAGCCCACCCCCCCCAGAGGTGTCCTGGGGACGGTTAAATGGACCACAGAACCTGCTGGCAGGAAGGACCTTGGCCTCACTCCGCTCACAGGCTTGGGCCCGGCCATCCCTTACCCTGCGGCGCTTGGAGCCTGCCGGGAGCCGGTCCATCCTTGCTGTTTCAAGGGACCTGGCATATATGGCATACTGTTCTTAATATGTTTGCCCCAGATGCTGGGGTCCAACCCCAGCAGGTCCAGGGGTCCCCAAAGGTGTGGACGGAGTTGGCAAAGAAGGAATGACACGGAGACAGTGTTCAGTTGATCAGCAGCCTAGCCAGGATCTCTAGCCAAGTTCTGGTCAGGATCTCCAGCAAAGTTCTGGTTAGGATCTCCAGCCAGGTTCTGTGTCCATGTTCTCTTGCTAGGTTCTCCAGCCAGGTTCTCCAGGTTCTCCAGCCAGGTTCTGTAGCCATGTTCCCTTGCTAGGTTCTGTCTCTAGGTTCTGTTGCCAGTTTCTGTCCAGGATCTTTTGCCATGTTCTCTCGCTAGGTTCTGTCTCTAGGTTCTGTGGCCAGTTTCTGTCCAGGATCTTTTGCCATGTTCTCTCCAGCGAAGTTCTTCTGTCTCTAGGTTCTGTGTAGGTTCTGTGTCTAGGTTCTGTGTCTAGGTTCTGTGTCTAGGTTTTGTGTCCTGTTGTCTTGTTACATCTGTATTTATACCAGTTGATTCCAATCCTATCAATCTCTATTCCAAAGGTTAGGGTGTTTCTTATCTCCATTCCAGGAAGTAAAGATTATGTAGCTTAAGCATGATTGTTCATAGTTAAAGTGATTAATTACCCACCTGGCACTTAGTTAAGGGGTTTATTCCCTCCCTAACTTCAGGGGAAAATCCCTACCTGGGGAAACAACCTTTCTCAGAGAGGTGACCTTGGTTAAAACACATAGTGCCAAGAAGGTGAGCAAACATATTAAGAACAGTATGCCATATATGCCAGGTCCCTTGAAACAGCAAGGATGGACCGACTCCCGGCAGATCTCCAGCCAGGTTCTGTGTCCATGTTCTCTTGCTAGGTTCTCCAGCCAGGTTCTCCAGGTTCTCCAGCCAGGTTCTGTAGCCATATTCCCTCGCTAGGTTCTCCAGCCAAGTTCTGGTTTGGTTCTCCAGCCAGATTCAGTCACCAGGTTCTAGTCAGGTTCTCTTGCCATGTTCTATCCAGGTTCTGTAGCCAGGTTCTGTGGCCAGTTTCTGTCCAGGATCTTTCTCCATGTTCCCTCTCTAGGTTCTGTCTCTAGGTTCTGTGTAGGTTCTGTGTCTAGGTTCTGTGTCCTGTTGTCTTGTTACATCTGTATTTATACCAGTTGATTCCAATCCTATCAATCTCTATTCCAAAGGTTAGGGCGTTTCTTATCTCCATTCCACGGAGTAAAGATTATGTAGCTTAAGCATGATTGTTCATAGTTAAAGTGATTAATTACCCGCCTGGCACTTAGTTAAGGGGTTTTATTCCCTCCCTAACTTCAGGGGAAAATCCCTACCTGGGGAAACAACCTTTCTCAGAGAGGTGACCTTGGTTAAAACACATAGCGCCAAGAAGGTGAGCAAACATATTACGAACAGTATGCCATATATGCCAGGTCCCTTGAAACAGCAAGGATGGACTGGCTCCCGGCAGGAGCCCCCCCCCCCCCCCCACGCTCCACAGGAAACCAGGAGCCACAGACTGGAGGGACATCAGGATCGGGGTGTGTAGGGGTGGAGGAAGGTCGCCTCACATGCATCATCTATGACCCTCACCACAGCCCCAACAGGGAGGAACGCATCCCCCCTCTTCAGAGGAGCAGGAGGCTCAGAGAGGGGAGGCGACTAGCCCAGGGTCACACAGCTCACACGGCAGAGCCAGGGTGAAGGCCGGGCGGAGCTGACTGCCAGGCCTCTGAGCTGAAGCGGACTGAACGCTCCCAGCCAGGCTTCGTAGGGGCCATGGGCCAGGCACCCTGCCCAGAGCGGGCCTCCAGCAAACGTTAACGGGAAGAGGGAGCCGAGGACGCTTCTGCAAGCAGCCGCCTCTCAGACCCACCCAGAGAGCCCCGCCAGGACCGGGGCGGCCCTGCCTCTAGGAGGACAGAGCTCGCTGGGCCCGCTGCTCACCGGACAGACAACAGACTGAGCCGGCTGAGCTGGGCACTCAGGACAGAGCTCCCGCCCTGCGTGCAGAAAGCGCTCCGTAAGTGCTGGTAGTGTGAGTGAGCGCTTGGTGCCCTTGCCTCCCTGCACCAGGAGGCCCGCGGGCTCAGGCATCGATGTCAGGGTCGCTCAGCAGCAGCACCTCCCGCCCCGTGGTGGCTTCCCGGGAGGGCCCAGGCCCCGGGGTCCTCCTGGCCCCGTGGCTGTGGGTGACCTCATGACTGAGGGCCAAGGCCCCTCTGATCCCAGCTCTGCCTGCTGCTGCTGGTAGAGAGGGTGAAGTGAGCTGGAGGAGGTGGGCATGTCTGGGAGGGCCAGCAAGATGGAGGGGCCCCGGGTGTCCCCACAGGCCTGAGCGGACAGCAGAGTGTGAGGGCCCCTCCAATCCAACCAAACCCCGGCCCCGGCCCTGCTCCCTCCCTCACCTGCACTCGGTGAGCTGCTCCACGGACTTCTCCGACTTCAGGCCGCTCTTGGTGCTCTGAGAAAGGAGAGGAGGGACTGTGTCACCCGGTGAACGCAGGGGCCAGGCTTGCTGCTCGGTCTAGAGGCCAAAGCCGCCCATGGAGCCCAGTCCTCCTCAGGGTGGCCTCCTGGCAGCCTCATCACTTGGTCCCCTAATTGTCCTTCCCATGAGCCTGGAGACCCACAAGGACTAGGACCAAGTCAGCCTCGTTCCCCAGGAACCCCCAGAGTCTCACCAGAGCCTGGTTCACTGAGGTCAGTAACGAATGAATGGTGAGTGGATGGATGAATGACTGGATGGATGAATGGATGGATAGATGAATGGGTGGGTGGGTGGGTGGATGAGTGGATGGATGAATGACTGGATGGATGGATGGATGGATGGATGGATGGATGGATGGATGGATGGATGGATAGATAGATGAATGGATGGATAGATGAATGGGTGGGTGGATGGGTGGGTGGGTGGGTGGGTGGATGGGTGGATGGATGAATGACTGGATGGATGGATGACTGGATGGATGGATGGATGGATAGATGAATGGATGAATAGATGAATGGGTGGGTGGATGGGTGGATGGGTGGATGGGTGGATGGATGGACGGACGGATGGATGGATGGATGGATGGATGGATGGATGGATGGATGGATGGATGGGTCAATGAATGGATGGGTGGATGGGTGGATAGGTGGATAGATAGATGGATAAATGGATAGATGGATAGATGGATGGAGGGGTCGATGAATGAGTGAAGAAATGGAGTCCCTCTGATTTATATAAGAAGTATAAACAAAAGCCATGAAACTGCTCAGTGGGTAAGCTTAAGTAATGGTTTTGAAACAGTAAGAATAATTCACCTGAGTTAGGCTGGGCTTGGCCTACTCTGTTGGGTCAGGTTAAAGGTGAGCCCCAGGATGGGATGCCCACTACTCATGGGTACCCAGAAGCTGGGGTACAAGGGGAAGCAGGCGGGGCCCCAGCTGTGGTGCTGAGTGTGAGAGCGAGTACCCCTCGGGGTGAGAAAACTGGGGCCATCATCATAGCTGTCGGCTAGGGAGTGAGAGACGGCACCCAGGACAGGCCGTGACTCAGGGTGGGACATGGTCCATCCCCAGGACCTGCATAACACCCAGGCAGGTCCCCACCTCCGGTTGGCCTCGCTGGGTCCCTGCTGCTCCGCTGGACTCTCGGCATCTCCCGCCCACAGCTTGAGCCCTGCTGTCCCGGCAGGATCTCCCATTCTCACGGCTCCCCGGCTCCCGGGAGCACACTGGGCTCGGCCCCACCCCCTGCTTCATCCGCCAATCCAGGGCGTGAATGTGGACCCAAGATGCTCACCCATACGATGGAGCCCTGGCCCAGCCCTCACCTCCATGGTGATCACCTCCACCTGCACGTTGGGTGGGAGGGGCAGGTCGGCCTGGAAGCGCTTGGCCAGGGCCAGGAGGAGATGCAAGGTGGCCAGCAGGTCCTTGTTAAAGATGGCTGGGGGGAGGGACACAGGTCAGAGCGGGGCCACGATACCCGGGGCCATGTGGGGCCTCCTTATCCTCACAACAACCCTCTTCGACCAGCGAGACCTGTGTCCACCCCTGGGAAGCAGAGGCCTGGAGATCTGCATGCAGACCTAACAACAGGCTCCCACCTCGGCGAACACGGCCCAGGGCACAGCCGCGTGGGGCCGGGGACTGGACGCGGGGATGTTCTCCAAGGCGCTGTCTACACCTGAAACCACCACGTGTCCTGTCCTAGCGTCGGTCACTGGTTGGACAAATTGTCAGGTTTAAGCTGAATGTGACTTAAGTCAGGGCCAAGGTCAACATTATAAACACCAGCTGCTGGACGTGAGGCAGGAAGCAAAGCGGTGAAGGCAGTGGCGTGCGGCCCAACCAACACAAATCGAGTTTGAAAACTGTTACATCATTGTCACCCAACCTTGTTACTCCCTTTCAGCCTCAGTTTTCTCATCTGGGAAGTGGGGAGAATGTAGAGCTTGGAATGACGGGACGTTCATAGCAAACTGTTACCCAGGAGGGCGGACTGGCTGCTTTGCACACCGTCATTTCCTACGAGCAGGCGCCGCAGACAAAATAGAAATAAACTCAGAGGCTGGGCCGCCGGGCCCCCTGACGGGTAGACGGGTAGATGGGCGCGTCACGGCACTTGGCACTCAGTCAGCAGAGGCTGCGCTGTGGCCAGGACTGTGTGCATCGTCCTCGTGGGGGCTTCCCTGCAGTGACGCCTCGGGGACAGGAGTGCCCAGGACTGTTTGTCCTCACTGACCGGCCTTTGTGCCCACTGTGCACCTGCCTGAGGCTTCTGCCTCCTTCCAAGCCCCCAGGTTGTGCCCAGACCCGAGGCGACCGAACCGTGCCCCGTGGGTGAGAGAAGCCGTCCCCACGCAAAGGGACCCAGGCTCCGGGCCCCGCCCCGGACTCCAGCCGGCTGAGGCCCGCGTACCGTCCACGCTCCACTTGGGCTGCTCCACCTGCAGGCAGCGGTTGGTGGCCTCCAGGACCACCTCGAGCTTGCGCCTCTGGCTCATGGCGGTCAAGGCGATCTCCTCCACGTCCAGCTTGGTCCCCGCCAGCTTCTCTGCGGGCAGGAGTGGGGGGAGGGAGAAAGGAGGGGGTGACACAGTGTGGGCTCCTGCTGGGGCCCCATGGCCAGAGCGCTTCCCCCAGGAGGCTGAGCCAGGCCAGCATTCAGGTAGTAAGAGCGCCCGCCCCTCACCCCTCCGCAGGGGGGCAGGCGGGCTGTGGGGCTGAGCAAGCCCGCCCCTCATCGGGACCCCACTGTGCCCGCCCCGCCCCACCCCCACCTCTCTGTGAGCCTTTTAGCCGGGCAGTGTGGTCAGCAGTTAAAGCCCCACTCCCCCGCTTTCTTCACTGCGAGACCCTGGACAGGTTACCAGGCCCCGCAGCGCCTCAGTGTGCTCATCTGTGAAACGGGATGGGAGCAGCACAGAGTGCTGACCCAGGACCAGAACCAGACCCGCCCGCCCCGCGGGGCCTCCCAGCTGAGTGCAGAGACAGACCTTAGACCAGGCCGAGCTCGCACCAGCAGAGGGAGAGGGTGGGGAAGGCCCGAGGGCCCGGAGGCAGCCCTGAGGGGGCTTTGTGGGCTGAGAAGGGAGCAGCGGGGAGCAGCACCCCTCCAGGCCTGCTTCCCGCAGCGGCAGGAGCCCTGGCGGGCGGGCCGTGGGGGGTTGCTGTCCCCGCAGCCCACTCACAGCAAGCGCTCCACACACGCTCAGGAGGCAGGTGCCGGTGGGAGGGCCCAAGGCTTAGCAACGTTCAGCGGGTGGGAGGGTAAGGGCGGTGAGGGGCTCACCTGCAGGGCAGGGGGGGGGGCAGCCACTTACGGAAAAGGTGGTGCAGGATGAGCCCGTCGAACACGTCCTCCTCCAGGCTCCGGACCACAATGTGCTCGGGGAGGAGCTGGGCGTTGATCCACTCCATCAGCACCTGCCGGGCCCAGAGGACGGCTGAGTGACGCCACCTCTCACCTGGCCCCTCGCCTGGCTCAGTGCTGCCCTCATCCCGGAGTGCCCCCTCCCACCTGCCAACTCCCACCCGTCCTTCAAAGCCAGGTCACACACCACCTCCTCCAGGAAGCCCTCCCTGATCTCCCAGACTGAGTTAGGGGCCTGGTCTCGGCTCCCGAAGACCCTCTGTGTCTCCACCACAGACCTGGGCCCTGGGAGGCTGTGGTTTGTCCAGTGCAAGGGGCTGCTGGTGTCCCGTCCCAAACCCTAAACTTGACCAAGTGCTGCATAAAGGCTGCTCCCTCTGCAGCTCTGCTGGAGGCGGGGCTGCCCACCCTGCCTGTGCTCCAGGGGCCAGAAGCAGCAGAGAATTACTGCCTGGTCTCTTTAAGGAAGAGGCCTGAGCCAACCAGGACTTGGTGTATAAACCAGGCTTTCCCGAAGGGACCATGCTGGACCCCTCTGTGTCCCAGGGCCCGACAGTGGGAAAGTGGGTGGAGGGAGCAAGAGAACGGGAGGGAGGGAGGGGAGGAGGGACACTGGGCCGCAGGTCTCCGGGAGCGGAAGGTGGTGCAGCCAGGAAGCCCTGGGAGGAGGCGGCAGAAAGGCCATGCGGAGACCAGAGGAAGGCGGAGGCCTGAGCCCGTGCCCAGCGGGTCCTGCAGCCACGGACAGGCTGTGACCTGGGAGACACGCCCACTCTCACCCCTTCACAGCTGCCCGTGGCCCCGGGCCGCCCAGCGCGTGAAGGAGCGTGGGCTTCGGGGCTGATGCCTGGGTCAAACCCGGCTCTGTCACTGCCCGCCCTGTGCCCCGACAGGCCAGGCCATCTCTCTCTGAGCGTCGCCGTGCCCTCCCTGGGGTGTGGGGGACAACGGGTCCCTCTCGATCTGCTGAGGCTGGCTGGGAGCGTGCATAGACAGGCATACAGTCAGTGCCCAACCAATGCTCCTTCATGCAGCCACTCAACAGGTGTCTGGGGGCCTGTGGAGTCGCCACCTGCCAGCCTGAGGTCAGGGAGACGGGAAGCTGCCTCCGGAGAAGTCAGGGTGGGAGAAGCTGCCTCACCTTCTGCAGTTCTTCAAATTTGGGGTCCTTCCGGGACGCGGGGGGCAGGAATTTCTTCTTTTCCCCTGGAAGCAGAGGCGAGCATGACACGCTGCAGGGCCCTGGTCACCTGGAGAGCTGTCACCATGGCCGCAGGGGAAGTTGGTCTTGCTGCTTCACACACACACCCACGCACACATGCACACACACAAACACAAATGTACTCACACACAGTCACCCCCACACACAGATGCACAGGCACCTACAGTCACACAGACACACACAGTCAAACACATCAACACACACTTGCACACATATGCACACACACAGACACACACTCTCAGATGCACAGGCATATGCACTCACACATATAGACACACACAGACTCAGACACATACTTGCACACACAGATACACAGACACATACCTGCGCACACAGACACATAGTCATAGACACAGACACATACCTGCGCACACAGACACATAGTCATAGACACATACGTGCACCAACTACACACAGACACAGAGACAGACGCCCCTGAGCACCAAACACCCAGCGTGGCGGGTTTTCACTCATGCCCGGTCCTCCCCCGCTTCCTTTGCTGCTGTTTTCCGCAAACCCCAAGCTCCTCCCAGGGCGGCCCTCGTGAGCGCGGCTCATTCCCAAGCTCTGCGCGTTGTGTGCGGGGAACACACTCAAAACGGCCGCGTGTCTCTGAAGCTCCCAGTGAACTGGGTTCTGTCCCACCGGACGTCTGCCTGTCTCCCCGGTGTGGACACGGGCCACCTGGTCACTCTCTGAGCCCCGGGACCCTCATCCGCAGCTTCCCCACGGTCTAGATTCACGGGACGTACCGCGTGTCAGGGCTGCAGGGACCCCAGCGATCAGCTAGCCCTAATGGACAGGGAGAAACTGAGTCACCAGGCGGGGATGGCCTCACCCAAGTCAACTAAGTGCATCTCCTGAGTCTTCCATTTCCTGGTTGCGTCGCCATCTCCCATTTATTTATAAAAAAAAATTTCTGTCATTTTGACGTGTGTACACATGTGTCTTATGTTTTTTATTATTTATTTACCACAAGTAAAGGTCAGGAATTGTTATCTTTCTTTTAAATTCTTGTACTGTTTCCCTTCATTACCGCTGTGTCTGTGCTCCATGTGGGTGACGTAGGTGCTTATGGAGGTGGGTTCCGACTCACGGCGAAAATCGCGTTATGTTGTAGGAACGGATCTCCGACGTCACCGAGGACCTACTGTCATTGTGCTACAGGGACATGAATTCCAGGGAGCCCCTAACGCCCTGGCCTGGGGACTCGGGTGCCTCTCGGGGTGTTTTCGGTCACAGGGAGAGGCCAGCTTGGCGCACCGGCCAGCCCCTCCTCCTTCCAGCCATCTCCTCGGAGAGAGACGTGGGGCAGTGACGTCAGGGCCACAAACCCCCACGCTCAGAACACAGACATGCCGATGGGCCCGCCCTCGCTGAGTGGCTCCTAGCCCGCCCCCACCCCCACCCCGCCCCCGCCCCTGCCCTGCAGAGACCAGCCCCCCCCAGATCTCAGGCCTGCGCAGAATCCGCCTGGACCGCCTGGGGGGGGTGCAGCCCGAGGCCTGGAGCCGCCCCCTCGGGCTCAGCTCACTCACAGAGTTACCCTCCACCCCGGGAGGGGGCCGCTGTGCCTCAGTGTCCCCGTTTAACCAAAGGCAGTAAGAGCACCTCCCCTCAGAGCCACGCATGAGACGCTGTAGACAGAGGTGCTTAGCTCCGCACAGCACATAGTAGGCACGCACGGCACATAGTAGGCACGCACGGCAAGTGGCATCCTCCCCCTCAACGTCACCATTAACCCAGAGATGTGGGCTGCTAGGGGATGGGGATAATTGCAGAAGGTTCCAGAAGCAGGAGGGGGTGTCGGGTACAAAGCCGAAGGCAGACATTCTGACAGAACTGGTGCCCAGTGGCAACCTGTACGGATGCCTGTTCCCGGGAGCAGCCCGTTTGGCTCTGGGATGCAGACACCCCTCACCCCCCACCCCCACCCCCCACCCCCATCTCCACCCCACCCCACCCCACCCCACCCTGCCAGGTTCCGGCACCTTGTGGGAGCTCCTCCTCCGCCGGCCTGGGCGCCTGCAGCAGGTTGTAGAGGGACTCGGGCTCCATCCTCCGCCAGCCCTGGGGTGCAGGGACAGAGGGTGTCATTTCTTCCAGGCCGGGAGATGCGGGGACAGGGTGGGAGCTGGCTCTGGGGGGGTGAGCCACTTGCTGTCTAGGCAGGGGGCAGGGTCCCTGACGGAGGCCGCAGGCAGCATTCCTGGTCTCCGGGTGGAGCAGGGCACAGGGTGAGGGCACAGGGTGGGGGCACAGGGCAAGGGCACAGGGTTGGGGCACAGGGTGGGGGCACAGGTTGAGGACACAGGGTGAGGACACAGGGTGAGGACACAGGGTGAGGGCACAGGGTTGGGGCACAGGGTTGGGGCACAGGGTGAGGGCATAGGGTGGGGGCACAGGGTGGGGGCACAGGGTGAGGGCACAGGGTGGGGGCACAGGGCGAGGACACAGGGCGAGGGCACAGGGTGAGGGCACAGGGTGAGGGCACAGGGTGGGGGCACAGGGTGAGGGCACAGGGTAGGGGCACAGGGTGGGGGCACAGGGTGAGGACACAGGGTGAGGACACAGGGTGAGGGCACAGGGTGGGGGCACAGGGTGAGGGCACAGGGTGGGGGCACAGGGTGGGGGCACAGAGTGGGGGCACAGGGCCAGGGCACAGGGCCAGGGCACAGGGCTGAGGGCACCGCCTGTGCACAGGCTCCACAGGAACGGGGCATCCCCAGCCGGGCACAGTGTCCAGCCCACCAGGTTCCTGTAGCACAGGAAGCCCCCACACATACCCCACCCCCACACATACCCCACTGCACCCCACAGTCAGGACAAAGGGGTGGCCACTCCTCAGAGCTTCTTCCATCCAGAAGCCCTGAGCTCAAGGGGAATCGGGGGGCCGATGTGTGTTATCTACAGGCCCTGAGCTCCTGCGGGGGCGGGGGCAGGGGGGCAGGACCCTGAGCCTGGTCAGCTGGGCGCAGCGCACCTCCAGCCTTTGAGTGAGGGACCGGAGCCGGGGGGCCACTGTCACCTGGACTGGTCCCCACTCCCTGAGGCTTGGCTCTCAGGGGTGGCCTGGCCCTGCTGGCCCCCAATCCTGGACAGGGCTCTCTGCAGGGGCTCTGTCTCCGGTGGTTTGGGGGCTCGCGCTCCGCAGCGTGGGAGAGGCCGCACCCACGGCGTGTACAGGAGCTCACTGTGGGGGGACCCAGCTCGTCCCCCGCCTGCGGCGAACCAGCAGAGCCTCCTTCCTGTTCCCCTGGCGACTTCCTCTCCTGCTCGCGGGCAGCCGTGCCCCCGCGTTCCTCTCCGCAGCCCCTGGCCCTCCCAGCGGCGCCAGGCCTAACGACACCCGGGCCGTGTCGGCAGCGCAAACCCTCCGGGGTCGGCCCCACGGCAGGGCCAGAGCTGCACTGAGCAGCGGCCTGCACGGGCCGGAGCCCCCCACACCGGCAGCCAGCCTGGGACACGCGGGACCGTCCTGCCCTGAAGCAGGGGGACGGGGGGGCTGGGGGACACGGCCGCCGGGCTCCCCGAGTCCCCAGCCTCCTCTTGGACACGGATTCAGTGAGGACGTGGCCAGAGAGGAGGGCAGGGCCTGGCCTGGGTGTCCCACGCCTCGGTTCCGGCGGCTCTTCCTCATTCTGGCTGTGACTTCGGCCGACCCCCGGCCCTCTCTGTCCTGCCGCTTCTTAGCACAGAGGGCCGGACCTCATGCTGCCAAGGCAGCTGCCTCAGCCACAGCAGCCGGGCAGGCCCTTCTCGGCCCCAGGCCTCAGTGCCTCCCTCTGGGGGCGGCCTTTCTCAGGGGAGGTGACCTGGACCCGGAATCTGCTCACCTGGCTCCACAGAGGCAGGACCGGCCCCTGGGGACAGGGGACAGGGGACAGGGGACAGGGGACAGGGAGCAGGAGCTCCGGGGCCACTAGGCCCAGCCCCCTCAGCTAAGACTGCGCCCGCTGCCCTCAGTTTCCCTGCCCCTCAGAGCCCTCCGCGTGTGAGCTGGGATGCACAAGACTGCAGACAGACAGACAGACAGACAGCCCAGGCCTCCCTCGGGCTGGGATGCCAGCAGGACTCACCCGGCGGCTTCCTCCACGTGAGAAAACGAGGGTCACGGAGCTCCGATGGTGGCCCCGGCTTCACCCAGAAGCAGGTTCCGGGCTCCCCAGGTCAGAGGGGCTGCAGGCCCGGGAGGCAGGGGCCAGCCGCCCACTTCCTCCGCTGGGGCTGGGGCTGGGGCTGGGCGCGGGCTGGGGTGTCTGCAGGCTGCTCCCTCCCCCACAAGGAGGCCTGGTGCTCCCAGATGCCACCACAGTCCCACCGGAAAGCTCTGCGGGCCCGACCCAGCCCCACCTCCCGGCCCGATGCCTCGCAGGCAACTCGAGTTTAGTATTTTGACTTCCTCTCCTCTCCCTCCCACTGAGCAAACCCGGCCAGTTCCTCCCCAGGTTTCTAGTCGCCACCAAGGCTACAGGGGGAAGTCGGCTTCCCCTGAGGCCCCCACCCCAGCTGCCAGGCCCCCTCCCTCTCGCCTGGACCACACAGAGCCTCCTGCTGACCCCCATCCTGGCGGCCAGCTTCTCCCAACTCCAACCCGGCCCTGGCTCTCTCCACAAGCAACACCCCCACTCACCCACAGCCCATCGATGGTGCCCAATCGCTCTGTCTCAGCACAACGGACATACATCGGGGCCGGGACTCGGCTGGAGGGAGAGGAACGTGCCCTGTGGGTTGTAGGATGCTTATCAGCAGCCCAGGGACACCCCCTCCCCTAGCACGACAACCCACTGACTCCAGACATTGCCAACTACCCTGGTTTAAGGGAGGGGGGTCAGGGAGGGTCCCTCTGGAGAGTGTGGGTTCCCTTAGGCACCAGCGGGTCCCCCGGAGCAGAGCCTGGGTCCTCCCAGCAGGTTGTAATTTAATATTTTTTAGGTGGCGCAGCTGTCTAGCTCCCAGGCGGCCATTGTCCATGGTTGGGGTTTTAACATCCCAGGGACGGTGATGCCTTCGTGACTTCCGCTGGGGAGGGTGGCAGCGGGGCCAGGTGAGCGTGAAGGTGTGGCCGCCATCAGGGTCACCTCGGCGTCCCCTGCCCTCCTCCCCGCAGCCGCCTCTCCCCGGCCTGTGCCACTGGCCGCCAGCCGCTCCTGTCCTGGTTTGGAACTGGGGATGGGGGTTGGGGGGTGGGGTGTCGGGGGGCCCACCCCGCTCCGTTCCTCACGATCACTCATCCACAGCTGTGACTGCCCCGTTCCCAGAGGCTCCCGCCCATGAAACCCTGGGCCTCAGCCCAGCCCCACACAGCGCTGTGTGCGGGCTCCTCACCACCTCCTGTCCCACTGCGGGCGCCGGGTGCCAGGTGAGCAGCACCGGGTGGGGATCGTGTGGCCTGGTGCCAGCATTGCCGCCCAACAGAGGCAGCGACGGCGGTGATAGGGTTCTTTCTTGGAAAAAATCCCAGCGGCCTGTTCCCACCACAGACATTCTCCTAGAATCCCAGGGGCCTGTTCCCACCACCGGACATTCTCCTAGAATCCCAGCAGCTGTTCCCACCACCGGACATTCTCCTAGAATCCCAGTGGCCTGTTCCCACCACCGGACATTCTCCTAGAATCCCAGGGGCCTGTTCCCACCACCAGACATCCTCCTAGAATCCCAGCAGCTGTTCCCACCACCGGGCATTCTCCTAGAATCCCAGCGGCCTGTTCCCACCACAGGGCATTCTCCTAGAATCCCAGCGGCCTGTTCCCACCACAGGGCATTCTCCTAGAATCCCAGCGGCCTGTTCCCACCACAGGGCATTCTCCTAGAATCCCAGCGGCCTGTTCCCACCACCGGGCATTCTCCTAGAATCCCAGCGGCCTGTTCCCACCACAGGGCATTCTCCTAGAATCCCAGCGGCTTGTTCCCACCACACACGACATTCTCCTAGAATCCCAGTGGCCTGTTCCCACCACTGGGCATTCTCCTAGAATCCCAACGGCCTGTTCCCACCACAGACATTCTCCTAGAATCCCTGCGGCCTGTTCCCACCACCGGGCATTCTCCTAACGGCCTGGGCTTCATAGCCGTAGGGCACGCAGGCCCCCAGCACACATGGAAGGTGTCGGCTTCCAGCGGTCGCGGGCAGGCAGGTCAACAACACAGCGGGGGTTTGAGTAGCTTTTATTTAATATCCAGAAATCCAAAGTAAACAGTGCTTGAAACGGTTATAAACACAATAAAACACTGGCCCACAGAGGGAGGAGGAGGGATCCCGTTGCTTTAGAACAGCACTGCTCTTTGTCACATCCAATTGAAACGGGGCAGGCGCTGGGCTCGCACTTGCATAATCCCTGTGGTTGTTAAAGGGGAA